AATATTTAACGAACATTTTTTTCCTATTTTCAAATGGGGCAACCATTTCCAACGAATATACTAATTTTAAATCCGGAACGGCTCTCACTTGGCTTAGTGCAGAAATTTAGAGATCCGGGAAGCTAACAGCATGTTGAACAAATCTTCGTTTTTTTGTCGCTTTTCTTATGAACTTTAGGTGTAAGCCATTTGCTGGGAAAGCTTTTCTTTCCCAGTTTTTAAAATTAATTAATTAATTCATTTTTAAAATATTATGTCTTCCGTTACATAAGTGTATATTATGTAATATTAATTAATACATAAATCTGCGACTGAACACAGTGTTTTGAAATAAAACTTGAAACTTTGACTGGACCCGCAGAGAATGATATGTCAAACGATGACAAAGAACATGGCTTTCCTCAAAGAAATGTAGACCGAGAAGGAACGTGTGAGTCGCTTCTGGGGACGCGACTCTACTTATACCCGTACTCAGTCAGTATATACATGTTTGAGCTTATGATTTTTTAGAATTTTAGAATTAAAAAAATGTTACATTTTTTTGTTGTTACATCTGTTATCTACATCTACAATGTATATTCTACATCTAACATGTAGGTTATGCATGTACCATTTAGATTCTACATCTTCTCCGCTAGAGGGCGCTCGCGTACATAACGAGGCAGAGTGTGCGAGCGAGAAAGAGTATGTGGAGCGGGTCTCTGCTGGAGGGGGCGGGGGAAGCAACTAAAAATTTTTATTACGGGATTTTATTTATCGAATCTTCCCTACTAGAAACTTACGACAAGTATACAAATCTTAGCCTAATATATTTATTTAATTAAATACACTTAATTACCTAGAGTACGTCCCTAGCTAAGTATTATTGCTGGGGGGGGGGAGGTCTCTTCGCCGGAGTCGTGTATGGCTAGTGTGCCAAGTTAAAGACTGCGCAAGTCTATTAGGATGGGCTTGAAGCTTGGCCTGGTACTTTGCTTTCACTTTGGCAATTTGATCTTTAACTGATTCTACATTTAAGTCTTTATGGATATTTTCATTCCGTATGTACCATGGTGCCCCAGTGATAGTTCTTAGTATCTTCGATTGAGCTCTCTGGATTATTTCTAAATTACTAACGCAAGCATTTCCCCATAGCTCGGAGCCGTATGTCCAGATGGGTTTGAGAACTGCATTGTACAAAAGTACTTTGTACTCCAGTTTTAGTGGTGAACGGCTGTTTATTAGCCAATGTAGATTACTAGCTTTAAATTTAAGTAGATTTCTCTTCGCTTCGATGTGTTTACGCCAAGTAAGCCTTCTATCCATATGAAAACCAAGGTATGTTACTTCGGTGGTTTGTGGAATATTGATATTGTTCAGGCATAATGGAGGGCAAGTTTGTCTGTTTAACGTGAAGGTGACATGCTTGCACTTTTGCTCATTTACATGTATCCGCCAGTCTGCTAGCCATTTTTCTAAGGCCACGAGATGAGATGATAAGTGATCCGTGGCCCTTCTTGGGCACTTGGAGCGACTTAATATGGCAGTATCATCAGCAAATGTCGAAGTTGTTGTTAGGCTGTTTGTCGGTAGATCTGCTGTGAATATGATATACAGTGTCGGTCCAAGCACGCTGCCTTGCGGTACACCAGCTTCAATTGGATGATATTCAGAGAGGAAATCTTTGCATCGTACTGCGAAACTTCTTTGCTGTAGGTATGACTCCAATATTCCATGGATGTTCTGTGGAAGTAATATTTTGATTTTGTGGATTAAGCCATCTAACCAAACGCGGTCAAAAGCCTGTGCGACATACGGACATTGCGGAGCAATACTCCCGTCTTTCAAATGCATTTCGTATCTCAGAGGTTATACGGTTTACTTGTTCAATGGTTCCGTGTTTTTCGCGAAATCCAAATTGTTGAGTCGGGATGGCACCGTTGATGTGTAGGTGTTGTTTGATACGATTCAGGAGCAGCTTTTCAAATATCTTTGATAGGCAAGGCATTAGGCTGAAATTTCTATATGATGATGGCTTGGACTTGTCTTTTCTGGCTTTATGGATCACCCTTCGTGTAACTGTAAAATCAATCAAGTCGGGTTGCTTGTTTGGATCTGTGGGCCAATATGTTGGCTTTCCCGGAGAGATAAAGTCTAGCTTGTTTCGTGGGGTTATTATTGCGTTATATAGTTGTCTTCCTTTCGGGCTGGTAAGTCTAGATCCCCAATGGGTGTGCTTGGCATTGTAGTCATCACCTGCTATAAATCGGTCACCTAGTAGGTCGAAAAATGTTACAAATTCTGTTTCGGAAATGCAGAATCGTGGTGGGTAGTGCGGGTACTGCGGCTAGGTTTAGGTAGCCGCTCTGAATTTCAATATGAATTGCTGTTGCCTATAGATAAGGTGTAGCAAATGAAGGCAATGGATAATGCCTAATGCGATTCTTGATCAGAACGCCAGTACCTCCATGTGCCTTACCATCGGAATGATTTGTCGCATAGAAGTTATAGCCATCGAGGTGAAAATAGTTTTTATTTGTTAGGTGAGTCTCTGATATGAGCATGGCGTCAATGTCATGTTGAGCGAGGAACTGTAAGAGCTCGCATTAGTGCTGCGAAATGCCATTTGCATTCCAGAAACATATATTTAGACATTTACCAGCATTGACTCAATTCCACTAGGCAATTGGGATGGATTAGCAGGGGTATGTCGAGCCCAGTCTGAATTAACGCTCCGTTAGCATTTTGTTAACTTATTGGTTGGGAGAGGTGGAGCTTGTCGCAGTGGGTCTACAGTATCGGGCGCTTAGAAATTGAAGTGGTTGTTGTTGTGGTTGTTGTCGTTGTTTCTGGGATCTGATTTGATGCCTGATGCTGCATTATTCCATTCCATTCTATTAGAGACTGAGGAGTACGACCCGTTGTGGTAACTTAACGCCTGAGCAAAAGAAACTCCTGGAGTCGTAGTTGATGGTATATATGTTTAGTTTTGTCGGACGACCGTGTTTCGAGCTGCAGTTATTTGTTGGTTTAGGCGATTTTTCAATTCTTTATAGACAGGACAACCTCTATAGTTGACAGTATGGTTTCCCCCACAGTTGCTACATTTTTTGGCAGGGTCCTCCTTATTTACGGGGCAGGCCTCAGTAAGATGAACATCACCACAGGCAACGCAGGGTGCCCGTAGAGTGCAATAGGTTTTCGTGTGTCCATATTCCTGGCAATTTGTGCATTGGACCGGTCCATTTCGTTTGTGTGGTTCCTCAACGGTGATCCTACGGTGCAGTAGGTATTGAAGCTTGTATATTGGGTGAACTTCATTTTTACTGTCATGTTGAGCGAGGAACTGTAAGAGCTCGCATTAGTGCTGCGAAATGCCATTTGCATTCCAGAAACATATATTTAGACATTTACCAGCATTGACTCAATTCCACTAGGCAATTGGGATGGATTAGCAGGGGTATGTCGAGCCCAGTCTGAATTAACGCTCCGTTAGCATTTTGTTAACTTATTGGTTGGGAGAGGTGGAGCTTGTCGCAGTGGGTCTACAGTATCGGTAAGATGAACATCACCACAGGCAACGCAGAGTGCCCGTAGAGTGCAATAGGTTTTCGTGTGTCCATATTCCTGGCAATTTGTGCATTGGACCGGTCCATTTCGTTTGTGTGGTTCCTCAACGGTGATCCTACGGTGCAGTAGGTATTGAAGCTTGTATATTGGGTGAACTTCATTTTTACTTATATGCATACTACCCCGAGCGCTTTTTCGCGAATTAATTTATGATTAATCACGATTAATTGATTTTCACGGCGAGCGATACAAAAATACGTCTGAAGTCGTTGACGGTTTAGAACAGGGGTCGGCACACAGACTCACACATTTTTTTGGTGCGTTTATGTGCGAAAGCAACAGACACGAAGTAAAATACGCTACTTATTTCTCTACCGCTGCGAAAGCCGAAGAATTGTATATAGGGCACACGATGCTTCTCTGCCGCTGAGGAAAGCGAGCAGAATATGATGCCGTTTGTGCATAGCCCGAATTATGTTTCTCTGCCGCGACGTCAGCAGAGCAGAATTTTCTCTGCCGGTACGTCATCAGGCAGAATAACGAGACCACACGAAGTCTTTACGCTGTACGTGTGCCGACTGCGCTGCCCGAAATTTTTTCCTATGCACAGTGCATACGACGCTGCCGGCCTCTGGTTTAGAAGTGAAAAAAAAGCAACTGAAAATTAATTTCTTCATTCTGGCTATAATTATGATCCGATCTGATTCAGATTCGGTAATCTGGTAGATATGGTTATTGTCTACGATATTGCGTTTTTGGTTTTATCTTTAAAAATGTGCCTGACACAGATTTTTGTCCTTTGTATGTTGTGACGAGTACGTTGTTGGGGTGGAAAATAAATTTGCAAACATCAGAAAATTGTTTTATTCTGCTAACAAAGGAATATAGGAAGCGCATTGTCGTTTGAGTCTGGAAGCAAAATTTTTTTTGATAAGAGCTCTTAGCTTTTTGAAAACTTTATGCAGCTAGCTGTCATGGAATGGAGCAGGAGGCGGGGGGGGGGCGGGCACTATTATTTTTAATGGAATTACTTTGGACAAGGGAGACATCGGTAAGCCCGTCGATAAAATCATTATGGCAATTTGGTAGGAACTTGTAACAAGGTAGTCCAGATAGAAGTTATAAGCTAAAATAAAGTCCAAGTCCAGAAAGAGTGAGAGCAAGAGTGCGTGTGCCGCTCTTGTGCTTTCCAGAGAGCGAGTAGGTGATGGTTGATGCGTGAGAGCGGTGACCACCAAAAGCGATGATCTAAAGTAAACAGCAATAAAAATTGCCTGCATTTTATAATTTAATAAATCAATTAAAGTCTGACTCTACTCTGGTCTCAACAATTGTTAATTACGGTGTTCTTAGAGACTGGGTGCGTGTCATACCTCCGGCACCAGCTGAAAGCGAAATAATACATATTAACAACACACTACAATATCCATACATTTTTTTTTTGTTTTCAGACTTAAAATGGATGAAACTAATCGTGATGTGTCTCAATGTGCACGGGATGTATCGCAGTTTATGCTTGATGGTAAGTAGATTGAATTGAATTTGGTCTATGTACCTGACACAATAGTCGGAGCCGAAACTTTAAGTGTGATATGAGTTTCCGGTGGATACACTCGTATTTTAATATAGCATACAGCTGTGAAAAAAATAATAGAACCACCACCACAAGCAATTTTTAAATAGTTGCCCAACTCATATTTTTAACTTTAAGGAAACTTTAAGTATATTTTTTTTTTTTTTAACGTTATTGAAATTGATAAAATTAGGCGAAAAAAAATATAAGCACCACTTTTGGTTATGGTTGAGTTAAGAGGTATATTAGATTTCTGGTAAAAGTGGATGTGTGCAACGAAGAGAAGGAAACTTTTCCGACCATTTAAGACCATTTGGCTGGGGAAAAAATAGTTTTTTTCGAAATTCAAACGGGACACCCTCTAGTTTTGTTACCTTGGATTTAATATTAACTTACATGTTTTTATTTTTAATTTTTTATAGGTTGCTAACGAATTTTACAACAAATTTTAATCAAGAAAATTCAAACAACATTTTTTTGCTCAATGAATTGGATAATTGGTGAAATCTATTGCATATATATTGATAAAATTCATATCGTCATTAATCAGCTATTGGCAGTAAAAAACCTGCTCAAGTTTTTGTGAATATAAATAAATATATCAACCTAAGCTGAATTTCTTGATTTTCATACAATCGTTAAATTTTTAACAGTAATTAAAAAAAAAAATTAAAAATACCTTATTATCAATATGAAATAGTTTCTAAGTTTCAATATTATTTGAAGAAACCGACGAATTAAATTTTTTTTAATGTATATTTAACCAAAAATTTGTATTTTCTTTTCGTGGTAGCAACCCACAAACTTTAAACTAAACATTTGAGTTTTCGAGAAAGAACGTGTGAGTCGCTTCTGGGGACGCGACACTACTTGCACTTCCACCCATTTTTGAGCATATGATTTTTAGAATTTTAGAATAAAAAAAAAATTGTACATATTACATTTTTTTGCTACATCAGTTATCTACGTCAACATATACATCTACAATGTATATTCTACATCTAACATGTAGATTATACATGTACCATTTATATTCTACATCTCCTCCGCTAGATGACGCTTGCGTACATAACGCGGCAGAGTGTGCGAGCGAGAAAGAGAATGAGTAGCGTTTCTCTTGCTGTGGAGGCGGGGGAAGCAACTGAAAGTTTGAAATACACTTGTAGCAGTGTGAATCACATGAGTCTGGAAACTTAATTTGGTTTCTCTAGCTTTTATTGTCTCTGAGATCCAGGCGCTCATCGAGACGGACAGACAGACAGTCAGACGGCTAACAAATCACTCTTCTATTTTTATTGCAATGAGATCCGTCTGTTCCTTTAGGCGTTTGTCCAATATTTGCAGAAGGCTTGGCGACAGAGAATCAGCTTTTTGTGCTGATTTGAGGTCAGTGTCGGTGCTTTCACGCACTCGCTTTGTAACTGACGGCATTTAAATTTGTAACGGAAAAACTGCTTGAAAGTTGTAACACCGATACTGCTTTGCCGATCAACGGATCTGGTGTGTTGAGCGAGCGCCCTCTGGTGACAATTTTTGACAAGCTTTTCCGATATCGGTAATAATCGCTGAACAGCTGTCTATTGTTACCTCTAATGCAAAGTGCAATTGGTTTTGTCTTCACACGCTGAGTGAAAATTGTTATTTCGCGCTCTTTCCTCGTCTCCTTTCCTCACGTGAGCCAAATTTGAGTGTTTTTAAGATGATGGATTTCGACAAAAATATAAAGTTGTTTTATCCACAGCTCGTTCAGTTGGAGAGTCAGTGTCAGTAGTCGGAAGCTTGGTAAGCACCTTATGCTTGGATTTTCCAACAGCTGATCTTTTATTGTTTGCAGATTTTTTGAAAGAATGTATATATTGGCGGAGCTCGGTACTAGCACGTCTGTTCTTAGCGACAAAAAAAATCTCAAAAAAATCTCAAATTTGGTCTAAAAATGTGTTTGAACGCCTATTTCATTTCATTTTGTGTCATTCTGACGGAACATTTTATGATAGATTAGGTTTTTTATAACTTTTTTTTTTAATTTCGATGAATTCCTAAATATTAAATTAGTAAGCAGCGAAGCGCGCGGGTCTGGCTAGTTCTACATAAATCATAAGCTGGAAAATGAATATTCTGACTGAGTCCGAGTATCAAAGTAGAGTCGCGTCCCCAGAAGCGACTCACACGTTCCTTATCGTTTTTAGTGAGCACGTGTTTATTAGTTTTGGCTAAGATTTCATTGTTTCTATCATAAAAGTTAATAATACTCATTACACTGGGACGTGTACTGCACTGCGGAGAAGCGCGATCTTATAAAAAAAATGTATATTGGACGGAAAAACGTAGAGAATGGAACTCACGTTCCTTCTCGTTAAGCATGGATTTAAAAAATTACCAATGATTAACGAATTCATTAGTTAACATTTTTACTTGCGGAGAGGGACCTTCTGGGGACGCGACTCCACTTTTATACCCGTACTCAGTCAGTATATACATTTTTATACCCGTACTCAAAAAGGAGTTAAGGGGTATATTGTATTTGTAGTAAAAGTGTATGTGTGCAACGCAGAGAAAGAAACGTTTCCGACCCCATAAAGTATATATATTCTTGATCAGCATCAATAGCCGAGTCGATATAGCCATGTCTGTCTGTCCGTCCGTCTTGTTGAGCGCCTAGATCTCAGAGACTATAAGAGCTAGGGCAACCAAATTTTGTTTCCAGACTCATGTGACATCACACTGCTACAAGTGTATTTCAAATTTTCTCCCCCGCCTACTTCAGTCAGAAACCTGCTACTCATTCTCTTTCTTGCTCGCACACTCTGCCGTTTTCAGTGCGCGAGCAACCCCTAGCGGAGGAGATGTAGAATATAAATGGTACATCTATAATTTACATGTTAGATGTAAAATATACATTGTAGATGTAGATAACAGATGTAGCAAATAAAATGTAAATATTTTTTTTTAATTTTAAAATTCTAAAAAATCATATGTTCAAAAATGTATGTGCTGACTGAGTACGTGTATAAGTAGAGTCGCGCCCCAGAAGCGACTCACACGTTCCTTCTCGTTTCCTCTTGGCTCTTGCTGCGTGCTTTTGAGTTTTGCATTTAGAGTCTTGGCTTTACCCTCTTCTCCTCTTGCCACTTGTCTTTTGCGGTTCAACAAACTTTAAATTTTCTATACTTCTGGGTGGAGGATCAAATAACGGTTCGTTAGCGGAAATCATTGGCCGAAAAGGAACAATATAAAACAAAAATCAGGTCGCTGGAGTCAACGGTATAGGCTGTGGGTTGTTCATTCCAAAAATAGCCCTACACAAATATGTATATAGATTATTATTATCAAAACGGAGCACTCTCTTCTCTTGTTCTTAAATTTCTTCCTGTGGAGAAAGAAGAAAAGGCACAGCGGCTACCCCGATTTATTTTATTTATAAGGGACATATATTTTTTTATCACTTTTATGAGCTACAAATATTTTGTTGTGTCCTCCACAGATTTGCAGCTTGCTGCCGAGCTTGGAAAAACGCTACTAGAACGAAACAAAGAGCTAGAAATATTTCTCAAGGAATATAAAAGCAAGGGAGATGAGCAGGAGCGTGAAATATTGGTATGTTTTTTATCTATCCGATACTGAAAGGGCACAGGGATATATTATATTCGTAACAGCCAGAAGAAAACGTTTCCGACATTATCAATGTTTTATTGAGTGTTGTATACTAGTAGGTTATATGCATTTTTAATGAATTTGAATATGTGTAATTAACAGAACTGCTGAATTTGTCGACTTTAGAAACAACTTATTCAACTTTGCTTGCTGACATCTGCCGACTAATTCACTACTGACAGACGAACGACGACGACTTCGAGATGGACCAATCCTTGGTGGTGGGCGATCAGAGTGAGGACTATCGACTCGCGCCAATACTACTATTTTACATACATATCATTACTAATAGCCATATGACATTAGACTTAGACAATTTTGCTGCGTAGAGAGGGATAGCACTAGAGACATCGTCTGTTTCCGTCTGTTTAAATCTGAAATGCTTGTCATATTCTGAGTTGTTTACTTTTTCTTCGTATTTTTCTTCCTCATTTTAAACATTATTTTGATATTATGCAACACACAAGCCACCAAGCTAGAAAAATTGTATCCGCAGATTAAAATTTTCGATAAATACTTCGATATATATATATTTTTAATGCAGAACGTATTTTTAAACCGTCTTTGTTTTTTTTTTTTTTTTTTAGAGGTAGTTCTTTTTATACATAACTCAAGTATTTTACATTTGGTTGTAATGAACATTGCCATTTTGAAAAGTTAATCGATGCAGCTATAAATTAGACCCAAACCCTTCGTGATTTCAGCTTACCGTCTGGGAAAATCCAAAAATGTCGAGTTTTTTATTTTAAAAACTCAGGAAAAGTCGAAAAAATCTATGGAGAGACGGCGGATCTAAAATTGGTTGACAAACCCTCCGAAAATCTCATTTTACCGCTTGAAACGTGTTCTTAATCAAGTGAGCGGCAGTGTATGTCATCCTGAAACTTATTGACGAAGATGAAGTAGTCAGTCATTGGATCCCACCACATCCCAAGCACTCTTTCCAGTCTTGTCGAATCCGTCGTCTCGATGGCGCGTTCTTGCTGGACTCCGTCTCCCGAGAGGTCTCTAATCACGGTATTCGAGTTGGATATCCAACCTCTCATCTCAAAGCCTGTTTCCTTGTGTATGTTTCGAACCTCCAGCGCTAGGCGGACCATTACGTCTTCGGAGTCTTTGGACTTTGGAGCCAAACGTCGACGTAGTATGGCCTCTGCTGTGTCTGGCTGTTGCTTCATGAATCTTTTTGCGTTCTCTATTTCTCATGTGGGTCGCTGCTGCTGGGGAACAAGATGTACCAAACGTCATTACGCTCATTACGTACCTATCCGGTTCTCGACGTATCTCCAAAGAAATTTCTGCGAGCTTTGCACCTCTAAACGTATCATAACCTGGTGAAACATTTTTCGGATATCTCCGCAGATGCCGATGGACTTCTCACGAAAACGCGATATTACTCCTACGAGCGACGGCAATTGATCAGGGCCTTTAAGTAGCATTGAGTTAAGAGCAATGCCTTCCACTTTGGATGCTGCGTCCCACGTGAGTCATAGTTGGGCTTTGTTTGGGTTTTTGGTCACAAATTCGGACAAATATCAGGACTGCTTTCCTTCGACCATTTCATCTGCTTTAAGTACCTCTGGATCTGTTGGTTTACAAACTCTCATAGCTCGTTGTCGCGTGTCATACGGGATTCTAGGCATCAAAGCCGTCGCATGGCCATATCTCTGGAGGATTGAAGTTTCACGTTGTCATACCGCCCGAGAAGTCCTGTTTCCCATCTCTTCATATCGCTGCGAAACCATGAGGTATTGTCCAGTATGGAATTGGCTTTTTCATCTTCTTTGGACCTGAGTGTGTTCTTCGATATACTTACGCCTACTTCTAATGAGAAACTCTCTTTTATGAGATCGTCTAGCGATGGATTTGTTATTACATTCGCATACATGCATTACTCGCGGGTTTGCCGGCCTTTCTGCGGCCATAAACATACCAACCTAACTTGGACTTGGCGGTGATAAACTCTGAATCTTCGCCCTCTTTCACGGTCAGTGGAACTCCAAGTTTCACGTTGTACAATCCGATAACACTACTCGACAAAACCGAACTTTTTTTTTCCTCAAGGATCCAAACCGACTTTTTCTGATAGATATGGGGCTTTAAAATTTTTTAAAGAATTATGGTTTTTTTTCTATGGCAGAACTTTTTTTTGAAGAATTTTTGAAGTCTGGTATTTTTTTTTAAGCTTTTTTCAGAGGTAGCGATAGTTTTTTTCACATAACTTTAATATCTTACGTCTGGTTGTACAGAACTTTGCTATTTTGAAAAGGTAATTAAAACAGCTAGAAGTTAAGCCCAAATACTTTGTGATTTCAGCTTACCGTCTGGGAAATAAAAAGCATTGAAATGCAAAAATGATGATTTTTGTGGGGTATTTTTAACGAAATTTTGACTTTAAAAATTCGGAAAAGTCGAAAAAAAATTATATCTTGTGTTATTATTTTTTGTGTATAGGTGCATTAATTTGGCGTCGTTTAAGGTATCGCTCATTAAAATCTATGGAGACTTTGGAGCTAAAATTCGTTAACCAAACCTAAAATAAGAAAAAATGAACAAAAAATACCTTTTGGAAGACCAACTGGGAACAAAGGAACGCGATCAGGTACCAAATGTATAACCCTTTTTCGTTTGCTTTGTTCCCAATTGGCAGTTGGGCCCGCCCTTCGAAGGTATTTTTTGTTCATTTTTTCCATATTTTAGGTTTGGTTAACGTTTTAGCTCCGAAGTTTCTCCATAGATTTTAATGAGCGATACCTGGAACGACGCCAAATTAATGCACCTATACACAAAAAAATAGGGCATAGATTATTTTTTTTCGACTTTTCCTATTTTTAAAGTCAAAATTTCGTAAAAAATACCGCACAAAAATCATCATTTTTGCATTTCAATGTTTATATTTCCCAGACGGTAAGCTGTAAATCACAAAGTGTTTAGGCTTAACTTCTAGCTGCGTCAATTATCTTTTCAAAATAGCAAAGTTCTTTACAACCAGACGTAAGATACTAGAGTTATGTGAAAAAAACAAGCGTTACCTCTGAAAAAAGCTTTAAAAAAAATACCAGTTTTCAAAAATTCTTTAAAAAAAAGTTCTGCCATAGAAAAAAAAAAAAATATCATCAAACCATTTCTAAGCCCCAAATCTTTAAGAAAAAGTTCGTTTTGTTCCTTGAGGAAAAATCGTGTTGACTAGTGTAATCAACGACGCTCTTACATCATTGTAGCCGAGTATCGGTAGCTTTTCCAGGTGCGAATAAGATGTTAGGATTGAGTCTTCAAGCGTCTGCTTGATCCAGGTTCTTAACTGCTCTCACATTTTGGTGATCGTTAAGGTTACCCACTTATATTCAGCTTTTTTTTTGCGTGATGTCTCCCGTCCAGCGTAAGCATAACTCGTTCGAGGGGCCATCAATACCCAGCTTTACCGTTATCTCCGTCTCGATCAGGGTCGAGGCGGATCCTCCATCTATAATGCGAACCCTTGCGTTTGGCCGCTAGGCCCATGTAATGTTAAGAGGCATATCTAAACTATGCAGCTTCGTTCTGCATTGTGTGTAGAACCGTAGCTCCTTCCTTCTTCGTGTTCTCTACCTTAGTCCTCTGATTATTACTGTTGTCAAGGAGAATATGATGCTTTCTCGAGAATCCATCGACAGAGCATACTCTTGGTGACCTGCAATGTCTTATAAAATGCTTGCCAAAGCACCTCCAACAAAGCTTACTCTCTTAAACGAAGTTCCATCCACCTGATCCCTCTAAATCTATAGTCTGCTTACAGTCTTCCAGTTTGTGGATTGCACTTACGAGAGGGCTATTGTGCACCATAAGCCGGACTCTTGGATTCTTCCCCGTCGTGCAAGTTTCTTTCTCAGATGCAACGGGCATCACAGTGCTTGAACATGACGCCATTCGGAATAGCCAATCGTCAAAAACGGCGATATTCACCATCGGAAGTCCAGCGCTTTGTCTTGCCCAGTCCAGCTTCAAGTGGAATGGAAGTTTCTCTACAATGTCACGAAGTAACATTGGGTAATTCAGCTAGGCGGATAGTCCTATTGCGTCGACGGTCGCACGATAGTTTTGCACAGACAGCGCCAGACGTATTAGGCTTCCATTCGTAGCTTCGTTTGTAGGGTGTGATATATAGCCTCTGGTCGGCCATATAACATTCAAAGAGTCTCGATGGCTAGTCGAACTGTTGCTTCCAAAGCCGTTCAGGCACTTTTGCAGCCTCATGAGATTTTCTTTATCGCTGAGCCCACAACGTTCGGTAGATTGCTCAAAGTTTACTATGACCATAGCTCCTCTGGATTTCCAGATTCAGCCTCATTGTCTCGTTTGGATTCAACCCGAGAGGCCTTCCAATCCGATTCGCCTCAGTCAATCCTGAAATGTGGCCTCCGGTACAGTGGGAACTGGTCTGTCCCAACCTCCGCTTAGTACCGTAGAGCTTATAAGACCTACTGCTTGAGGCAGTCGTTATGGGACGCATTCCCTCGAAAGCACCGGCACACGTCTATTCTATTCTATTTTCCTTCGGAATTTACTTTCTTGTAGCATGAAAAGTTAATGGATAGGGTGAATAGTTTAAGCAGGGGTCCACACAGAGCGTCGGCACAGTACCTGAGTACACAACCGGCAACTCCGTCGGGACCTGGTGAAAACACCGGCTTCACTAGTCGAAGATCATGAAGCAGTGAGCTTTCATTTAACAAGGGGCTGAAAATGCCATTCAACCTTGGTAAATTGTATGGATACGGTTGACCCAGAGTAGCTTTCATGAGAATAGGTTGTTTGGAAAAATTTGGAAAAAATATCGGCAATTGCCTGATCATTGTTTGCTGACATATTGAGAAATGGATGTGCGGACGTTCTACGCGTACTATTTACGAAGCTGTAAAACTGTTTGGGGTCCTAGATAGGTAGTTTTATAGCATTGAGCGTTA